AATGACATTTTCCCAAACAGGCAATTTCTTGGATAGCAAATGTTTTTTTTTAAGATTATTATTATTTTTTAATTGGGGAACTGGGGGAGGGGAACAGCGTTGGGGAATTGGGGAAGGGGAACAGACAAATTACTGTCCTTTTGTTCTTCAGTCTAGTTGTGGAGGATGTTGCTTCACTGACCCATGTTGGTATTATCATTGCGCTCTTCCCGGGTGAGGCAGATTGGTCGCCGGCCACTGGACGGCCACTCACGGAGGTTCTTGGCAGCTCACACCAGCTGCCAGCCGCTCACGCTGGCTGCCAGCCACTCACGGTAGCGTATGGCAGCCCATTGCAGCCTCACTGCAGCCTATGCTGTTGCCAGCGACTCATGGCAGCCCAGCTCCAGGTCGAGCTGTTGTTCACCATCTTAGCTGTAGAGGACACAGCGTCACTGACCCTTGTGTGGGATCCAAACCGGGGCCCTGCTGCTCAGAGCTGGTGTCCTAAGCCAACTCTTAACCAATGCGCCACCTGGCCGGCCCTTGGATAGCAAATGTTAAACCCATTCCTTTCAAATTAATTTATGGTCTTTCTGTTTTTCCTTCATTAGTTTTTATGTGTATTAGGGTTTTTTAGGGCTCTCTTCTGTACTGTTGATTTAGCTATACAATATTGTGCCAACAATGTTGGCTTTACAACTCTTTTAATATCTTGTGGGAAGCCCTTCCTCATAGTTCTTTCATAAAATGCCTTAGCTCTTGCATTGTTTTGTGAAGTTAAAAAACAATTACATTAGGATTTTGTTTGGGATCCCTATTTAGAAACATGGGATGTTAAAGTCTTCTTCATCTATTTTTATATAACTCATATTATGTAATATCTTATAATTAAATAAAACCATTACCACATTTATATTTATATTTTTATTACATTTACTATATATTTTTTATATTTTAATATCTCTGATTATTGTTTTTCACTTCTTAAAATTATATAAGTTTTCAAACATGTGACATGTTTAAAGAACTAGTTTTAGATTTCCTGTGTTTTATTTATTTAATATTTACTTTTATCTTTATTAATTCCTTCCTTCTGCTTCCCTAAGTTTGTGTTGTTGTTGTAATTTTGGGATTATTCGTTATTTTTCTTCTCCTTTTTAAATGATGGATGTAGATGAGATTTTGAATATACTTCCAAATACAGTTTAGGTAATAGTCTGTAAGTTTTAAATGAGAGCCTTCCAATTTTTTTTTTAAAATAGTCAATAATGGTGGTTTTGATCTCTTCTTGAATCTACTGTTCTTTAGAAAATTTAAAAATCTCTGAGTAATTGGATTTTGTTTGTTTATTCATTTACTCTTCTATTATTAATTTCTAGTTTTATTGCTTTGTGCTCAAATAAAATAAACTTTATAATTTCTGCTTCTGGATTTTACACAGATTTCTTTGTAAACTGGTTTATGATCTATTTTATTAAATACTCTATGGATTCTTTAAAAAAAAAATGAGATATTTAACTTGTTTGTAGGTCATCGAGTTATTTCAGCCAAGTTTTATGTTATTTATTTTTTGCTACTTAACATCAAAGACAGAAAAAATATTTTAAAGCCTCTCAATACCTGTCTTTCTGTCAACTTCTTATATATCTATTTTTTCCTTAAAATATATATTGATACTGTTTTTCACATTAAATATTTTGATTCTGTTATTAGATACCTAAAATTTTATGACCATTACATCTCATAATTGAGTGTAAAGTGACCTTCTTTATTCTACCTTATGTTTTTGGCATGTTGGAAGATTAGTTTGTCTAACAATATAATTACAATATCATTTCTTGCTTTTAATTTCTCTATGCTTGATAAAGGATAAGATAAATAGATATATATGACATTTTGTTTTAGATGTATCTCTTATAAGAAACATACCATAGGATTTAAATTTTTAACACAATATGAGAGCATTGTTCTTTAGTAGGGGACTTCAACATATATATGTCTTTTGTCATTATTGATCTAGTTAGTCTTAACCTCTTTCATCATACTTCAAAAAAATTTTAAACAATTGCTTGTTATTTGCTTTCTGTTTTTGCTACATTGATAGGGTTCATAAATTTTAAATTCTCTCAGATTTGAAATGTGTGTGTCCTGTTTTAAGTTTCACTAAGTGATTAATTAGTTATTAAAAATTTCTTCTGATTTATACTTTTAAGTAATCAAAATGAAGAGAGACAATGAAAAATTTAGCATATTTTTACTGTTTCTTCAACAATGTCTCCTAAATGCTTTCAGCCTTGGCTAATAGAACCTTAGGTTTGGGATCCAGGTTACTAACGTTTACATTATATATCTTCTCTTTCAAAGAATGATTTTTGCCATTTGTATTTATTTGTGTAATTGTATTTCAGTGTTTTTTTTTAAGCTTCGCTTTAATTTCACTGGTTTCAATTTTTACAAAAAGTATTTTTGTGCTTTGATGTCCCATCATTAATTCTTTAATTCTGCAGTACTTGGTTGGTGTGTATCTTCAGGAAAATGTTTCAATAGGTAGTTTTGTTGTTTTTTTTTTTAATTGGGTAATTGGGGGGATGGGAACAGTGATGGGGAATTGGGGAAGGGGAACAGACAAGTTGCTGTCGTTTTGTTCTTCAATCTAGTTGTGGAGGACGCTGCTTCACTGGCCCAAGTTGGCACCATCATTGCGCTCTTCCAGGGTGAGGCCGATCAGTCGCCGGCTTCTGGACAGCCGCTCACTGCGGCTGCTGGCCGCTCACGCTGGCTGCTGGCTGCTGGCTACACACGGTAGCCCATGGCAACCCACTGCCACAGGGACTGCAGCCTACGCCGTCGCCAGCGACTCACGGCAGCCCAGCTCCAGGTTGAGCTGTTGTTCAGCATCTTAGCTGTAGAGGGCAGTGTCACTGGCCCTCATATGTGGGATCCGAACCGGGGCCCTATGGCATCCCAAGCGAGTTCTTAACCATCGCGCCACTCGGCCGGCCCTAGGTAGTTTTGTTTTAATTCTTGCAAGTTTAAGAATGACTTTCTGTTACCTTCTGTTATTGACTGAATTGTGTCCCCCCAAAATTCGTATGTTGAAGCCCAAACTCCCAATGTGATTGTATTTGGAGATAGCGCCTTAAAGAGATAATTAAGGTTAAATGAGGTCATAAGGGTGAGACTCTAATCCAATACAACTGGTGTTCTTATAAGGAGAGAAGACACCAGGAGTGCAAATGCACAGAGAAAAGGCCGTGAGAGGACACAGTGAGAAGGTGGCTATCTGCACGTAAGGAAGAAAGGCTTTACCAGACAGTAACCCTGCCAGAGTCTTGGTCTTGAACTTCTAGCCTCCAGAACTGTGAGAAAATAAATTTCTGTAGTTTAATTCAGCCAACCAATGGTGTTTTGTTATGGCAGCCTAAGCAAACTAGTATACCTTGACATATGGATTTCCCTGGACTGCATACCATAAAATCATTGGGTCACAAATTTTTTTGTAGTGAGTTGTAATCTTTGAAGGGTGGCATGGAGAGAGGGTGCGGGTGGGGATAAGAGGAGTATTTGGCTATTTCAAAGAGCAGTGCTTGGCTTTAGGGGAGTGGCAATGCAATTTTCCGTTAACACTGAACCAGGTGGGAGAGAGCTTGATTTCTTCCACGTTTTGTTTTTTAGGAGACAGGAAGAGCTTGTACAGATTTTTCTCAATTCAGCTCCATGAAAATTATAAATAGTAGAAATTTCCTCTATCCCTCCTAACTCTAACAAGGTGGCAAGCTATTTTTAGTTCTTACTAGTGTGTTTTCTTTTTCTTGGGTCTTCATAGAAACAAAAGATTGAGGTAAGAATTTATGGAAAAATTTCTGCTTTTGATAATTTTTATTGAAGATGCCATCTCTAGAGTCTCTATCTCTAGAGACCAGTTAATACTTTGTAGAAGTTACATGGAACAAAGAGTTATAGGAGTACACCTACAATTTAGGCCTGGTAGAAATCTCATGAAAATCTTTTCTCTAGTAGAAGACAACATGATGTTCTGAAGGGCTCAAAGTAGTAGGTTGTCGAAGTATTATCTGAATGCTCCACTAGAATGAGGAAGCTTAGAAACATTACTTTTGTCCTTTGAGATTTGTACACTCACAATAGCATAGAGGGTATTACTAATGTAATATCCTCATGAACACCCTGGGCCCTGAACGCCGGGGCAGTGGTTTCTCTTCACCACAGAGCTTCTAGCTCGGTTTCTAACAGAAGGAAGTAAGAAGGAAGGATGCATGGTGCCTGTAGTAGTGCTAAGTGGAGAGCTAACATAGGTACGGTGAGTCAGGAAATGAGGGTGTCTCCCCTTTTTTTGTTTGTTCAGTTGTTTCTTCACTGTTCAACAAATATTTTTGTGCAATTATTAGAAAACCAGGCACAGTATTAGGTGCTGGGTGAATATCATAAACAAAATTAGTAGCTCATGTGGTTACCCTGTCAGTGGAGTTTTCAGGTAGGTCCTCAGGGCTGCAGTGCACCCATGGTGAAGTGTGTCTGGACACTGTAGGAATTTTCCCCCAGGAGCTCCAGTGGTCCCAGTAACTGGTTGGAGGTTCCGGGGTAACTGTGAAGATCTGGTTTCATATAAGGAAACACTTTCTAAAAATTAGACTCGTTTAACAGGAGAACAGCCTTCCTTTTTGGGGGCTAAGCTACCTGCCACTGGAATGACTCAAGCTGAGGCTCTCAAGGATACTGCTGATGAAGTCTCTGAGGAAATGTGAGCTCTTTGAAGATGGGTCTATGTCTCATTTAATTTTGGAACAGGTGCCTCACAATGCCTGGCATATAGCAAGTATTCAATGAAATCTTGGCGGGTAAGTGAGTGGATGAATGAATAAAATGGAAAAGAGGCTACAATAGATGATCTCTCAAAGCCCCTGCAACTCTGAGATTCGGCAATTTCATATTCAGTCAGTGCCCAAAAGGGGCCCAAAAGGAAGGTTCTCCCCCTCAGCTCGAAGACTGGCAAAACTCACCGTGCAAGGCGGCTGCATCCAGGGCTCTCCATCCACTTGCATTGGCAGCAGCTTGTTCGTCCTGGAACCCCGAGAACCGAGAAAACGCAGTGAGCTTCTTAGAGTCAGAATCAGGGTTGTCCCCACCAGGGGAACAAGTGGGAAGACCTTATTTGCCCACCTATGAGTGGTTCGCGAAGACTCTCCTGGGGGCTTGTTAAAAGTAGATTTTTGAACCCCCCTCAAGGATTGCAACTGGGGCCAGTACAGGGGTCTGCATTTTAATATGGACTATGGGCGATTCTGTTGCTTTGGTCCTCAGACCCTCCTTCGAGAAACACTCCACTGGGTGAGCAGAGAAATCCACAGAAGCCTGGAAAACAGTGGTCAACAAGTATGGCAGAACCACCGTTGAGCAGACCCTCAGTCAAATCATCAGCTGGAGAGCATGTAGATGGTGCCAAAAAAAAAACACTCCACAATGAAACGAGAAAGGTTATGAAATGGGAAAAGGCCTGGTTTCTATGTCGAGTGAGAGGATGCATCATATCAATGAGGTAACGTCTCCAATCTGTACAAGGTACAGCTCAGGCGTGATGTGTCTTGCTTTGCCCCCGATTCCTAACCGCCCCTCTTTTTATCTCTTGGACAATGCTATGCTCTGTGGTTGCATAGATTATGGACCTGGCTTCGCTGGGAAATGGGGTCATCGGGGATATTGTCCCTATGGGTAGGAGGAGAAGGGAGGAGAAAGTGTTACTTTCTTGCTTGGGGCAAGGCTTGTTTGGTATATGAATTGATAAAGGGACAGAGACAAGGCCTTCTGACTCCCTTCTGTAGAAGAGTTGTGAATTTGTACTACGTCACCTTTGGGAGAAAAGGCAGGTCCTTTCAGAGGCGTCCGGTCTGGGATAGCAAGGAACAGTTGCCACCCACTGGCCAGGAAGCCCTCCCCTGCTATCTGTCCTGTTTTTGAAATTACAAAATGAGGGAGGCAAGCTGTGTTTTAATGTAGAGGATTCTCTGACTGATTCTGGGGATATTTAGTAATAAAAAACAATAAACCTAATAATAAAACAAATAATAAGAGGAGAGAGTGGATTTCTGTTTGGGGGGCTGAGGAGAGTGCCTGGAAAATGCCCAGGAGGATGGGGCTCCAGGCTCACCCCCTCTGTTTCCACCTGGGAACAGGTCTACTGAATATGAATATGAAGAAAAGTCCTCCCTCGTTTATGTGGCTTTTTTGATTCCTCTGGGATCAAGATGGGATTGTGTTCTCTGTGGTCTACATAAGATATGGCTTGGATGTGCTAAATGGACCTATTCAGTATTATTCATGGAGAATGGACAGGGAAGGCAGTACAGAGATTAATCTGGAAAATAGGGGCCCCAGCACAACAGCCCAGAGAAAAAGAGGAGCAAGGTTTTAGGGGAATAGTAGAAAAGACAGAGAAGACACAGAGAAGGAATGAAGAAACGGGGTTAGTGGGATAGACCTTCAACTAAGACATATCAGGAAACAAGCTCTGGGGGCCTGTCTGACGGATGCAGGGGAGTGTCAAGAGCAATTTCCCTAAACGTGCTCTGAGGACACACTTGCCCAGGAGGTTCTGGGAGAAAAGGGTTCTGTGGTCAAATAATTTGGGAAACCTGTATGCTGTGGTCCCCTTTAGGAGATCCCCAAGGCACACTAATAGATTTGATCTGTAGAAATTGAATGGGAAGAGGAAAGGCATAAAGATGTCTGAAATAATCAGGTGGAGAAAAATCTGATTAGTTGCATTGATTAAACAGAAGCAACCAAAATCAGGGGATCCCCTCCTTTAGACTCCTTCTCTGCCAGGAACCTGCAGTAGCTGACCTGTGTGGTCCATACCCTGACGACTCATCCTCTTCTTGGACCATTATGACAGATTTGCTGATGCGGATGGTTTAGTTCTACAAAGGCATATAGGAAATAGTATTTCTAAGGCCACTACCCAAGAATAAGCAGAGCAGAGCAGAAAACCCGGGTTTTATCAGGGTGTGCCCTCTGGCACACATCTAACATTTTAATTTGTAAAGATTAAAAAGGCAAGGAGTTGGACCTCTGATTCTCTAGACCTCATAATCTTAACACTCCTGTTTAGAGCATTTTACCAATTCATTCCAAGAAAACAGCAAGTTGGTTGTGACGGACTCTTTAGTTGATGTTCTGAATGGTTGCATTATATCTAGTTTGGGAAATGCTCTCCAAAGACCTCCTTTATAAATGTTATTAAGCTTCTCTGCCCCACTCTCCCTGCACTGAAATCCAAAGATGGCTTCCTAGTTTGTTGTCTGTAAAAACGTTAAGGGAGTTTGGGAGACGGGGAGGTGGCTGGGTAATGAGGAAGCATACCTGATGGTGACAGAGGAGCACTGGGCCAGCCTTCTGCCTGCACTCTTCAAGCCAGTGTAGATCTGCCCCATTTCCATGGCTCCCTCGAGCCCCACCACTTCAAGAAGCTGGTCACTGAGATCTGCAGAGTAAGACAATCAAAAGCAGTGCATACACATCTCTCTGTTCCTCGGGCCAGAAGGTCTAATCCCTACATGGCCAACCCAGATCTGTCAATATCCCTTCATATCCCACCAAACAGCATTTTCAGAGTCATTCTGAACAGGGAGTTGCTTCAAAGATCATTAAATGTACCTTTTCATGAACAGAAACCCAGTTCTAGTGAAAAAAGGTTTTAATTCAGGGCATTAATATGCGTCTAATGAATAGGATGGCATATCAAGAAGCTTCTTCAAATGCAGAGTAACATAAATGATGAACCAGCTATTTCTGAAATTATTTTCAAGCTGAAGATACATTGGATTGGGATTAATATAGGAAGGAATGTTGATGAAGGTCATTATCCATAGCTGGATCAAATTTCTCTTCTCAGAATGTCTGAATAACAACTTGGCCCTACTGACGATGACTGATGGATAATTAACCTCAATTTTGGCCTGTGGTAAGCCAGTGGTGAGCCAACCTCCTTGGACAGCCTCGGGGAAATCAGTGACCTCTTTCAGGACACCAGGTGTCTAATCTGGGCCAAGGAAAAGAATATTTCACCTACACCAGATTATTCTTGGTCCACAGTAGAAAAAGAGGAACAGAAAATATGAGTCTCGAGCTCAGAGTCACATAGGATCAATAGCCTCCCACAGTTACTTCTGATTTAGCACCTGGAAGAGGTCCTTTATTTCAAAGTTCTTGAGGCTCAGATTGTATCTGCCCAATTTCTTGTGAAAACAGTGACAGGATTAAGGTTTGATGTTTGGCCCAAGACTCACTTTTATAACACAACTCTTATTTAAAACAGAAGCAAAATAAAAAGGCAGGCTCTTTAAAAACTTCAATTCCTTTGCCTACTAAGGCAAAGGTAGTTTTCTCATAGGTTGTAGCTAATCACTAACATTCTATTAATATTCACAAACTAGAAAATTGTGCCTATGTTAATGCTTTTGCTTATTTAACAGATGGCTTCTGTCTTCTAAGGTACCTCCTGGTATATTGTAATAGTGTTTGTTAAGATTGGCAAGGAATATTTGGGGTTGTCTTTACTTTTTTGTTTAGATGACTGATTATTGTTTAAAAAACATTCTCCTGATGGATGTACTTCTAATGCAGACAGTTAAACAAACCGTGGGGCTGACCACAAAAATGTGTCAACATTGTTACAGTCTAACCTTCTGATGATCACCGATGAACATCAACTGCCAACAGATACACAAATTGAATTAGTTTTTCTGTGACAAGTGTATAGCTTTCCCCCTCTACATCCATCCACACTCCCATTCTCCTCTAAATTTTTTTTCTTTTTAACCACATCTGTGAAAAGATACTGTCTCCTTAAAGTCTCCATCTCATTTGGACTTGGAACCAGAAGCCATGAAAAGGCAATGTTTGTTTAGGGGAACGCTCCAGGCTCTCTTTAAGGAGTTTGGATCCAATAAACAACACATGTCTAAACCTCTTGTCACTTAATTAGCTCCCTTCTTACCATAGAGTGTTGAATAACCATTGGATAATCTTAGCTTTCTGTGTCATTTTAACAGTGTCTGTGAAATCAACATGGGTTATGAATGAGAAGGAGTGAGGGAG